CCCCAAAACCCCAAAACCCCAAAACCCCAACACCAACATAAGTTATTGATAATAGCTGTCAGTTGAATATTTATTTGATTGGTTAACTATATATTCTAGAACTTAAGCTCAGATAAATAATTTATAGTGGCGGTCTATTAAATTCAATGGAAACAAAAAAACAATCGACTACTCTATCCACAAGCAACAACGAATAAAGCACTGATGATACATAAAAATCAGTAGATGACTAATAATAAGATAAATCAAGCAGGGCTTTAGCATTGCAGCAGCTTGTAGATGAAAAATAGATCTATTATGTGAAAAATGTATTGAGATTAAATGATGAGGATTTGCTAAAAGGTAGAATGAGCGATAAGTTAATTGAGACAATTAACTAGGTTAAGCTTAAACACAGAACCTCTCTTAGTTTAGATGGATGGTCTGAGGACAACTACTATATTAGGTAAAATTTGGTATGCGATAGGGTATTACATGGATAAGATCCAGAGTTCAAGGATACTATTGAGAGAATCCACATAGACGAAATAAGTGTAGACGAATTTATTGAAAAATACGAAAAAGGAAGCCGCCCTGTCATAATTCAGGGTATTGTAGAGAGATGGCCTGCATCAGAAGAGTGGGGCGTTTAAAGACTTCTTGAAAAATTTTCTGACGCTATGTTTAAGATAGGTGAGAGTGATTCGGGAAGAAAGCTTAAAGTAAGCTTAAAATAGTATATAGAGTATATGATCTACAACAGGGATGATAGTCCTTTGTATTTGTTTGAAAGTTCTTTAGAAGATCATCCATAGGCAAAAGTAATGATGAAAGACTATGAAGTGCCTAAATTTTTCAAGTAAAATTTATTTTCAGCACTGAAAGAGGATGACATGCCTCCTCATCGATGGTTTCTTATTGGGCCAAAAAGATCAGGATCTGAAATCCATTAAGATCCTTTAAATACATCTGCTTGGAATGCTAGTGTATGCGGCCACAAGAGATGGATATTAATAGAACCAGGCCCAGGTATCACTAAAAAACTGGTTAGAGGAAGAGAGCTGATTTCCAAAGAAGAAGATGATGAGGCAATCCATTACTTTGACTTCATATTTCCAAGAGTTAAATAAACATATGGACATCGATTAAGAATTATTGAAGGAATATAAAGACCTGGGGAATGTATTTTTGTGCCTGGATAATGGTGGCATGCTGTACTTAATTTAGATGACACAATAGCCATTACTTAGAATTTCTGCAATTATGGAAATTTCGACAGAGTTTGGATTGACACACGTACTGGTAGAAAAAAGCTGTCATGTAAATGGCTTAAACTGCTTAAGTTAAAAGAACCTGAGACTTATTAAAGAGCACTTGAATTGAATAAGAGAGATGATTTTATAATGTGGGAGGAGAGATCAGATTATGAGAGAAAGAAAAAGAAGAAGAGAAGAAGAAGATCAGCTAGCAACAGCAGCTCCTCATCCTCTTCGTCCTCGTCTTCTTCATCTAGTAGCAGTTCATCGGAATCTAAAACATCTTCACATAGAAGCAATGATAAAGTGTCAAGAGATAGCGAAAAAATGAGAAGTAGAAGCAGGGAACTAGATCATTGATTTTTTAATTTAAGTTAGATTGTTAATTATTTAAAAATAAATTTATCTAATCTTTCTTTTTTCATGCAAATGGGGTTTTGGGGTTTTGGGGTTTTGGGGTTTTGGGGTTTTGGGG